GCTGAACCTGAAATTCATCTCGTTTGACTTTTCATTATGCATCAGTTTTAGCAGTGCTCTTTCCTGTACATTAAGCTTCATCACTGTGCGTTTGTAGCACTGTAACTGGAGTCAATAAAAAGCAAACACCATGTCTAGAAGCTCTTAATCACTATTTCACAGCCACATTAGCAGCTCTGTCCTCCCTCTTGTCCTATTAAAAGCATACACTTAGGAATGGCAGAGCATTGCTAATGTCATTCCTTTTATTCAATTTAGGTACTCCTCCTTCTTCTGTGAAGAACATGAATTCCTAAAGTTATTGAAGGTGTTTTTTTTTCATTTCTTCCTCCTGCATCTTTCCTTAGAGTAAAGTAAAATACCAGGATATTACACTGTGAACAGTATGCGTCCTTCACTTTTAATGTTCATTCATTTCAAATGTATAAATGTATTAAAATAAATTGCAATTCTGGATGGGTATATTAACCTCTTAATGCTATTAGAAGTGGGGTGAGTGGGGAGGCTACTAGCACACGCGCTTTTCCAGATTGCCAGCTTCATTCTTTATTAACTGATTCCAGTTTACGAAGAAAGAGGTCTGTGTGGTCTCCTCTTGCCACTCAGAACTGGAGACCTACGGCATCAGTGTGGTGGATCTCTAATCACTTTTCTTTCCTTAAAGCATAATGTAAAACCTTCCAATGCTGGGCAGTTTGTGTTACTTAACACTGCTGAGTCTTTCTTGCAGCCTGTGTCAAGGACTGAACTCTCCAAATTATGTATTTCAGACCTTGAGAAAGAAAGGACTTAATGGCTGTGACAGCCCAGACCCTGATGCAGACGATTCAGTAGGTCACAGCCCTGAGTCTGAGGACAAGTACAGAAAAATTAATGAAGATATTGATCTAATGATCAGCAGACAAAGATTATGTGTAAGTACTCTGAGCTCCCTTTCATTTTTTTTACTTTCTGATATTTCTCTGAACCTGGCAGGCATTGAACAAGAAAGAAAACAAAGGTTGTGAAAGCCCCGATCCTGACTCCTCTTACGCTCTCACCCCACGCACTGAAGAAAAATACAAAAAAATTAATGAAGAATTTGATAATATGATCAAGAGCCATAAAATACCTGTAAGTACCAAAGGTTAGATGGCTGTCTGCTGGTAACTGCTGCAGTAACAAACCATAACCCTTTCAGTTCTGGCTTCTTAAGGAAAATATTTCAGCTGGAAACAGGCTTTAATAGCCCAACATATAATTAATCACTGTGGTCAGACAATTTCACACAACGTATTTTTCTTCCAAGTCTCTACCTCTGACACACAGACAAAGCCTATTATGGGTGAAACCTGCAGTAGGAAGTGAAATATACATATATACATTATATTCACTCAATTTACAGAACTGTTTTACCACACTACTAGCCCAAATTATACTTAAAAAAATAACAGTGGAAATCTTTCTTTGTGGACAGGCTAACAAACCCACAGAATACTTTCTGTGGTGATACAGAAAAAGCAATGTAGAACTGAAATTCTTTTATAAATAGTAATTAGTGCATTCTGTGTGTGTCACTTCAGTTCTCAAGCGTCTCTGCTAAACTCGGTTGCAGCACTGAAGGGTTACAGCTACTTGCTCGCTGCAGAGAAACACTGCATGAGAGCCTAATGGTAGGATTCAGACATGTTTGTGTGTTGGGGTGATTTTACAGCTTTATCAGAGAATTTGCTTTGACCTCATCAGCATTTCTTTAATGCTTTAACATGAGCTAAATTTTGTTTTAACCAATTCAAAATTTCTAACCATCAGTCATATGCCTTGCCAGATATCTAAGAGAAATAACTCTGCATGTGCTGTTCTGTTTGCACAAGACATACAAGGGGAGAATACTTGGTCATTATGTTTAATACTACATTTATAAAGCCAACAAAAAGAGTGTGGACGTTTGGAGGTTATGTAATTTGCAGAGGTAACTGCTTTCTTCTGAAAGAGATCTGTGTTCATACCTCATTCCCACATGTAGGTTGTATTGTTAGCTGCCAAAAACGATGTCTCTATACCCAGAATGAGCAAAGTCTCTTCTGTAGTGCTAGCCAATTGTGCGTACAAAATTTGTTACCTAAGCTGAGGATGCCTTTTAAGGATGTTTATATTCTGTCTCATGCAGCGTAAATGCTTTCCATTCATTATCAGCAGAAAGATTTTCACTCAAATCAATTAAAACTTGAAGAAGTTCTCACATCGTGGCAAATGTCTTTTTGAAAAAAGTACAATAATAATAAGGATTTTCTTTGAGACCAGAATGATACCAAACTTGATAAATCAGTATTTGAAATGACTGGTTAAGGATGCCCAATGTGTATAAAATATCAGAGAGGAGTACATATATATTTCTTCTTTCTTTACCTCCCTTTCAATTTGCTTCTTTTGCATAGCTGTTTTTCTCAGGAAGAAAACAAAAAAATAAAAAAAAGCAAACTGAAAAAGCTCTAAAGCTCTCACTGTGAATTTGGTTTCTCAGGATGGAATTCAGTTTGACAAATGATGACTACAACATTTAGGGTGACTCTTATAAGATGGAATGCTTAACCCTTTGTCACATCAAAATCTTACCAATTACCATTCCTTTTCTTTTTCAAGGATGACCTTTGGCTTGTTCAGAAGAGACAGATTTCATCTCTTTTGATTGAAGTACTCTCTTTTGATTGAAAAGAGACTATTTCAATCAGATAGTATTTAACCAAAGCCATTTTTCCCATCTTAAAAACTGTGTTCGGGATGGTCCTTCAGATCCTCTGTTTATCTTATGCTACCTGTTTTGATCCAACAAGGTAGCAGATATTACAACCATTTGAAATCTTAAGGCATGAAAAAAGTTAAAAAAAAACCCCACCTCTGAATATAACTTATTCCTGTGGTAGTGAGTTCTATCACTTTCTTTACCTCCACAAGCATTTGGGAAAATCATCTTTTCTATAAAACTAGGAAAGTTCTCGGAATTAGAAACAACACAGTTGATATAAACATGGGACATCACTTTTGTCCTCCCAAAAATGAATGGAGTTTCATTCTGGTAGCTTTTATTACGTTTGATCTTTTGACCTCAAAGATAGTCCTACTTCAGCTATTAACATGGTGATGAACTTGGTTGCCTGAGCTGTGTTGTGGGTGTAATGTGAATTCCAACCTTGCAGGGATGTTACAAGGTACAGTGTATTATCTTTTTGTGAAATTACTTCAGAGACGCTTCAGAGATACAGAACTGCAAAACGTTAGCACTTCTTTTCACGTAAGACAGGATATCCTTTCTTTGAATACTTCACACAGTGTCTGTGTGCTCCATCAAGATGCTTCCCACAAAAGGACAAATCAGTAGATGTTCTCCCCTAATGCAACAGGGCTGCTTCTCTTGGCATAAACCAAGATGTAATGGGCAAGATGGAGCTCAAAGCTAGAATATAATGGAAATTTTTTCTATACATTTTGTATATTATACTGCATACCATAACATCCTTAACTGTACAAATCAGTGTAACTTCAGAGAAGTCAGGGATGTTATATTCATTTACTTGTGATCATCAAAGGTTCCCAAGAAAGTTGTGAGGGTAGAGGGGAGCAAAATTGAACAAAAAGTCACCAAGTCAAGTCATTAAATCACTACTTACAAAATCTATAAAACAATGCAATGCCTGTGCCTGGTCTTGTAACATAATAAAGCTGCTGCCAAATGAAAACAAAATTGGCTTTTGCTCCTTACAGCTAAGGCCAGTAATGTTTCCTCAGATAATTTTCTGGGGATAAGTATTTATATTGTTCTAAACATCTGATAATAATTAGACATTCAGTTGTAATTTTCATAAGAGTGATGAAAGCAGAGGAGACAGAAATAGTCAACTAGAAGGGAGCTATAAGTATCTCTGTCTCTAAACAAATGAAGTCCTGGTTGAACATGGGAGGGATAAAAATAATATTTAACACAGAATGTTCGGTCCGTTAATTTCCAAGGGGTTTGAGTCCCCAACACTTTGCTTTGCACAACGTACCACAGCTTGTGGAGTACACATCTAACACAGTGTGTGCTGTGCACTGATGGTATCCTCTCAGGTGAGCCATCTGCCCTCTTTGGAAATCATGTCCAAAGGAGAAAAGACAGGGAGAAAATGAAGCAAAATGTGGCAAACTACATATATTTTAAAATAAGGCTTCATCTATGTGAGTAAATTAACAAATGGCAAAGAATGTACCAAGGCAGCAGGAGGTGCTTATGCCTGCCCTGAATTGTTTGAACAGTCCCTGGCATGCTTTTGGCACTGGCCAAGTAACGCTCTCCCAAACAACCCTAACAGTTTTAGCTCTGTTTGGTTGTTAGCCCAGGCCAAGAAAAGTTCCCAATTGTCAGTTTATATGTAGTCATGATGGTTTTGAGGTTGGGAAAGCTTAATAGTATGGATGCAGACTGCTGTGTGGCCTCAGATGGCCTCAGTTCCTAGGCAAGTTTAATTTACTAATATAGGTATTACGCAAGTGCTTCACAAGCTTTAACATCCATCAGGTCTAGCTGGAATAGATATGCCCTGTGACTTTCCACCAAGAATGACTAGGGAATCTGCAGGAAGTTGCAGGTCTTGGTGAAGGACATGCAAGTCTGTCAGAAAATTTGGGCAACCAGAGCAGGTCTGTATCTAGACACTTGCTGTTTAATACCAGTGCTTTATCCAAACTTCTCTCTCTGATCTTTGACCACTGAAGAGAAGACATAAAAACTGCTATATTCCAGATAGCTGGAATATTCCATGCGCTGTGCTGCAAAGCCGGAGAGTAAACTGACTTTGCCCTGATAAAATTGCCTATGAAGTACCCCATAAGTAGATGTAGGTAAAATTGTGAAAATTAAACCATTACTACAGAAATGGAGAAAATAACTCCTTTTAAAATATATTTTTAAACCTACAGGATGAAATCTGAGTAACTGTTTCAGGAATGTTTATATGTTTCAGTGGTGACCAGTGAGACTGGCAGCCACAAGACCAACCGAGGCTGGAGCTCCTTTGCGCCGTACTAACGTAGAAAAAGAAGTTTCCAGCCCTCAAAGAGTTTTGTTTGTACATGGAAGAAAGACAGAGCATAAAGATGAAAGCAGACAAGCCTGGGGGGTGGGGGTGTTGGCATTTGTGTTTTAGCTTAGGGAACTCGACAGAGGTCAGGTTTAGGAAAGTAAGTTAAGAAAATTCAGGCAGTATTGGTGTCTGCCCAAGCTCAGAGGACCAGTTTCACAGATTGCATGACAGAGGTGAAGAAGACATTGTGCAACATGCTCCCCAGTGGGTGGCACTCAATCTGACATGGGCTGTCACTCAAGCAGGCAGGATCATGTGCTCAAAGCCATCAGGCACAAAGATCTCCACCACAGCCCTGAACACTGCAACAAGAGGCTCCATGTTGGCTTAAGCATGTCTTACACTAGACTGCAGGTGGAGCTAAGACATCTATCCTCATGAGAATTCACTGGCTAAAACCTTTTGAAAAGGCAGCTGTTGACTTTGGACTTCAGGAGCAGCCGTGTATGTCTGACTTACAGGGGATTTCGGAACCTCTTGGGTCCTTCTGTGGACAGTGAAGAGAATGTCTTGCTTCAAAACATACCTTCAGGCTGATCAAATATTTCATATTATGCTATGTGAACCTATTTCCAAGGAGCCTAGACCTCAGTTGTTACATACACCCATACTCCTTGTACTATGCACTTTGTGAATTTCTTGTAAAGAGAAGCCACACATGCAGCTAGCAAGCTGGACTTGAACTGTAAGAACATCTGCAAGAAAAAAAAGGGTTGCTCCTGAGAGAAATAAATAACACACTTCAGCTATTATATTTTTCGTCACATAATAATTTATTGTCTTTTTTTTCTATTTCTGAGACACAAACATTAGTATGTTTCAGATCCCTGCAAAACCCAGCAGTTCCATCATCTCGAGTGCCCAGCCTGATCTCATCCATTATGCTATGGCCACCTCTCACAAAACTAGGCCACAGGCTACGTGAAGGGTTTCAGAGCTAAATTAACACCTTCAAATAAGTCCCAAGGCATTTGTGTAATGTATGCTTCACATCATGCCCTGAGCTAAAGTCTTACTGTGTGTTTCGGTGGTTAAGCAAAATGATTCATCTATATTTAGAGCAAAATTATGTCTGCCCCTAGAAAGGAGAGACAACAGGGAAAAATAACCTTAAGGATAACCGTAATTGGATGGCCAGAGCTGAAATACACAGGGCACAGCCAACAGTTCTGGCCAGCCAGAGAAGAGACATGCATGTGGCACAAGGTCGGAGTGCCTGTGCTGCCTGACACAGCAGATTATGTGTATGGCTCTCAACATCCTCCCTCTAGGTCCTTGAAGACTCACCAGTGCTATCAGCTGCCAACAGCAAAATTAAAACCTGTGATTTCCTCCCTCTGAAGATGTTACACAGCTGGTTTCAAGAGTTTTCTGATGTGTTCAGGCTTGAAGCTTACAAGATTTTGTAATGGCAAATTAAGGGGTACTTTGTTTGCATTGAGGTATTTGAATGTTTGAAATCATGGAACCATATCATGAATAGTCTGGGTTGGAAGGAGCCTTCAGAGGTCTAATCCAAACCCAAAATGCTGTCAGGTAATTCAAAAAAAATTTTCTCTCCGTTCACAAAAAAATAAGTCAATTATTTTAAAAAAAATTAAATTTAAAAACTTTAAAAATATTTTTAGAACAAGTAGATTAAATATGGAGTTCTAATTTATTTCAATGCCACCAGAGTCATAAATTTTAAAGAAATTCAGGCAGCTGCCACCTAAGAAAACCCCAACCAACCAAGAAAACCTGAGTCAGCCTTTCTAAAACTGTAATGAGAATCAGGTACTGCATCTCCTCACACCCTTTGTTGGAATGGTCCATAACTTGGTTCTTTTTTGAATGGGATTTTTGCGAAGGAAAGTGGCTTGGGAGAGGATCCTGCCTTAAAGCATGAAAGCAGTATATTGGAAAGATGTGACTGAACACCACTACCACCCTGAAAAAAATAACCAAACAAAAAAAAAACCCAAGCAAACAAAAAATATGTTCAGTTATGAACAAAATAAAACACCAAAAAGACCCAACAAAGAACCCAAAGACTAGTGTCTGTCTAAAATTCTTGTATTTGCTACCTGTCCCTGAGTAGAACTTTCTTTCTTTTAAGCCCCTCCAAGCTAAGATAGAAACTTTTAAAAAAGTAATTTACTGTGTTCATGCCTTTAACGTGATTTGGGATCAAGCTTCATAAAGTAGGATTTTGTTTTAAACTAAAGGAAAAAAAAGAATAAATATTTGCAGTTATTACGAAGAGAATGTGCAATCTGCATTAAATGAAAATGGAATCATGATTTGAAAGAATCATATTTAAAAGCCTTGGTAACTTTTTTGAAACACTTCTGTTGACTCTTGAGGGCGGGGGGGGGGTGGGCAAGCGTAAATATTTTAACCACCAACTACAAAATATTTGAACTAAATATAGAGAAACTGTACTTGAAGGCTGTTGTGCTTCTGTACTATTCTCGTCTTTGTTTCCCTTTTTTGCTCGTACAGGCTGTTCCACCACCAAACTTTGAAATGCCAGTTTCTATCCCAGTGTCCAACCACAACAGTCTGGTATACAGTAACCCAGTCAGCTCGCTGGGAAACCCCAACCTTTTGCCGCTGGCTCATCCTTCTTTGCAAAGAAATAGCATGTCTCCTGGTGTGACACATCGGCCTCCGAGTGCAGGTAACACAGGTAGGCTCTGTTTAATGTCATCCCTTTAAATGAGCTTTAATCAGCTACTTGTCTGCCTTAGGTTACTTTAATCTGTACAACTGTGCTCTGAGAAACAAGAACTCTGTTTTTACCAGTCATAACAGTTTGTCCAAAATTGCTGTGTTGAAAAAAATCAAAAGAGCCAAAGGGGTTTCTACTCCCAATTTAGAAAAAAAAAAGAGTTCTAGAAAAAGCTGAGTATTGACTAAGATTAAAGGAAATCAATAAAGGATAAAAGGGCAGACAATTTGCTGTTTCATAAAATGGCAACCTGTCTACTTAAGTCGTGCACGAACTCACTATACTATAAAGTTTAAGAGGGAGAAAACGTAGCCAACACAAACAAGTTGAAGCAAGTAAAATAGGACACGCATTCCTTAAATCATCAGTCCAGAGGTTAAATACAGAATTTATTACTGGTCGTGCATTCACAGGTTCCTTGATGGGTTAATGTTAGTTAAGCTCTGTACTTGGGTGCCTTGTATAACAAGAGGCTGTGCTTCACTCTAGTGATGATGAGGGCTAACCTCTGAATAGGATAGATGGGGATTAAGTTCATTCAATCTGTCTGGCTAAAGCAAAATCAAGATCCTTAAGTATACCAAGTTCAAAGAACCATTTGAGGTCCACAAGTGCAAAGAGAAGTTTTAAAAATCCTTAGAGTTAATGTCTATGAAAGGCTGAGGAAATCAAAATTAAAAGCTGTATAAATACATATTACAGCTTCTCAGTTATGTTCTGATCCAGGAACCTTCAAGTCTCTTCCTCCTAATCCTATGTGGAAACCTTTGCTTTTCTGAGTGATGATGAGCTGAAGAGTTTTCAGATGAAGGACTGCTATACATACCTTTCAAATATAAATTGATTTTTTCACATGCTGTAGAAGTATGAAAATAAAATAATGAAATGTTGTGTACTGCATATTTTGTTTGTCCTTGAAAGGCAAACGTCTCGTATGAGTAACTTTAAAGCATTACAATTTTATGATTATGGGTCTGACCTGACACCTGCTGAAGTAAGAGGAAAACAGTAGTGGGTAGTGGAGCGGGCTGTTTGAAGTTAGAGAAAATGTTTTGAATGTTTGCCTTTTATAATTTATCATGCTCATTTGTAGTATTTCATTTCAACCCCCTAGGTGGCCTGATGGGTGGGGACCTCACAACCGGTGCAGGCACCAGTGCAGGTAAAGAGAAAATCATTTATATTTATTTTTCTGAGTGAACAAAGAACTTCCTTCAAAGACAGAGTCCTAAAATAGCTCCATATTGGAGGTGGAATATTATAAAGTTGTTGGCATGCGTTTATTTCCCCCAGATGGGGGTGGGGAATTGATATTTGTGCTTCCCTTATTAGTAGGAAGAGGTTTGTTTTCAGTAATGTCAGAAATCTTGCACCTCAACAAATTCCACAGACACAAATGTCTTTCTTTCACATTAGCCCTTCTGTAAAAACTTCTGGGTCCCTTGCATAGCCCTGTTTAGGCAAAACTCCCGCTGAGGCAAGTGTCAGAAATGCTGACCCTTTTTAAGTCAGAGGGAGTTATTCCATTGACTGTAGTGGTACTGGGGTTTGGTTTTATGAATTTAGTCTCAAGTAAAGTTTTCAATATTGAGTCACTCATTAGGCTTCAGTCTACTGAGCACAGATCTGGTTTCAAGCCCCTTCTCTAAGAACATTGCTAGTCAGCAAAATCTGTTGGCATTTACTTAAATAATCAGTAATTAACTTAAGCTTAGTTTTACGTATTTGCTTAAGTGCTTTGGTACACAACAGGGAAAGGATTTTCAAAATACCCATTCAGAGAAAAAGATTAGCCCCTTTAGTCCTGCTTCCACAGAGTTAATGAGAACTGTACTTGCTAAGGTCTGTGTTATCAACGCAATGTTGTCAGAGTAGTCCCCTTTGCTCAGTAAACTCAGTGGTTTGTTAGCAATGTCAGCAATGTTGCATTATTGCAAATACAGATTACAAAAGACAATGACAAGATTACTTTTTTCAGTTTGAGAAGTAAACACATATGTTCGAAGAAAATAAGCTGAGTGGTAAAATATGGAGCACATCCAATTTTACTGGGTTAACTGCTCTCCGAAAGAACTGTATGGAAAAATAGTTGGAAGATCCATTTTGTGCACTATAAACTGGAGCTGATATATGTGCAGATTCTGACATTGTCATATAAAATTACTTATAAAGAAATGCTGGATATAGTGATCTTTTCTTTCTTGGCTCTTCTTATCCCACATTAGACAACCCCACCCCTTTTATCTTCACACGTAGATGAGTCACAGATGTTTGTGTGTTGTGCTTGTAGTAGAATTGAAGCTGCACTGCACTGTGTCAGAAAGGCACTTTAAACGCATGCTGAAGCTTTGAGGGGTCATTCTGTGTTAATTTAGGAGTAGGGGAAGCAGGCCACGACAACTTAGCTGTTAGTCTCCTTTGTTCTCAAAAAAAAAAACAAAAAAGAAAGCACAATAGAAAATTATGATTTTTTTCATTATCTTTTGTTAGCCTGCGAAACACAGCTAAAGAAAGATTCATTCTGGTGATGTTCACATTTCATCTACTTTTAACCTCGTGTGTAACTTCAGGAACAGCAACGGAGGGGCTCAGATAGGAAATGGATTGCCCTATTGAGGGGCTCCCTCTACTGACTTAATAAGAAATATCATCGCCTTGATACTGGTTTCCTTGCTCCTCTAAAAAGACTTTGGAAAGCGATCAGTAAAGAAGGCAGTGTTGTCTTTTAAATGGGGCAAATGGTAAAAGTTCGTCAACACATGCATTTGGCTTAATAATTCTGGTGCTTAATAAAATCTGTATATCAGTAGGCTAGTCAAAAATTTATATTCTAAGTATATTTTTTCTTTCATGGAAATATATTAAAAGCATATATAAGCATAGGAAGGGGTATAGCTTGATTATTTACTCATAAATTAAGAATTTGTATTTCCTGCACACAGTGTTGTGCATTAAGCTCTCAAGCAATGTAACTTTGGAGCAGACTATTGATTTGAGGGGCACGTATATAAGGGGCATTGCTAGGAATGCATCATAAATATTTAATTGTATGAATAGTCTTTGTTCTTTATCTGGCAATAAGAGCTTTAAACACCATTAAAGAAGTGTTTTCTAAATCTCTTCAATGCAGCGCAGAAGGGAGAATTTGATACAGGGCTGAAGGAAGATGAAAAGGTCTCTATAAGGTTGACTCCTCTGTCTTGGTTGCACCATTTCACAATGGCACTATTTTGGACAGTTCTCTTTCTTTAGGGTGTAGAAGAATAAACATCAAAAGTTCTCTTTGTTCATCATTCTTCACAAAAAAACAGAGACCTCTGTGTTTTCTTCTGTTTGGCATCTTAGAAGCTGGTAGCATGATCGTGTGGTTTAATCTGTTGGGGTTCGTATTTCTAGCCAAATTAGAGCATTATGAATTTGCATTTTTCTGCAGTGTCCAAAAATAGCATATATTCAAAATAACATGCTCCAAGAAGAAGAGTCTAAAGAGTTTCATTTCTGCCATTACAAAATGAAACTACTTTTGATTACTAACACCAGTCCTCAGTTTCTGCACTACTTTAGAAAATTGAATTATAACTGCACTATCAAAATGGAAAAATATTAGTTAAGCCTGTGTTTTAGAAGTCTATTATTTTGTTGGTTTGGATTTTTTGAAGTAATAACCCTGGAATCATCCACAATTTATCTCGGGAGTCAACCCAAGACATAAATAGAACTTACAAAAGCTGACTACTTCTTTATTATACTACATAACTAACTACCGTAAGTGATATTTTTAAGTTAAACCAAGCTTATCTCAGGTTTGTTAAAGTAAATTTGTTCCTAGCCAAACACTGAATAGTTTCTATTGTGTCATAGTAGCAACTGCCAACAAAATAGGGGTGAACTTCACATTTAGGATAGTTTCTAAATTATAAATACAGCAGTGTCTGGCACTATTCTCTCAAACCAGAGGCTGTTGATTGAAAGAGAGAACGATAACTTTCTGTACCCAAATCTGTATGCTCCAAACCCATTCTAGATTATACCATAACTAATATGAAGACGAAGTGACATGTACCTTGGTTGCTATGTGCAGTTCTTTTAATTTTTAGGGAGTGTAGTCTTTAACAAAACCACATAACAGTAACTTAACCAGAAATAAATAATGCCTTCAAAGTTTTACTACTGTAAATTATCTGAACTCCAGTTTTATGCAGTTGTGCAATATTTATGTTAAAAGTCTGATAAAAGATCAAAATATTAAAAATATTTCAAGAATTTTAAAACCAAAATACAACAGTATTGGGCAACATCATTGCGTCTGACTTTAAACTTTTGGTTTTCAAATTGAGCTATATTTTTAGACTGAGTTACATTTTTCATTTTTATATGGTTTTGGGATTATGACATTATGCATTTTATAATCAAGTTTTCTTTTGAATGGACAAAGCCCACCTAAATCAAAATAATTTCTTTACTTTTGAAACTGCTATAAATAGTAAAAAGGAAAAATTAAATCTCCAGTTTCAAAGCCAGGATGGGTATAATACTAAAAATCCTTGCTTTAATCATTTTTTCACTTTCTGTAGTTTGTTTGTTTCATTATTTGGTTTATGTACTGCCTCCATCTTGACGTTAAACTAAACTAAAGGAGCAAGTTATTCAAAAGGACTCTGCAACTGCTGGCCAAGGGACTAAGTGCTTGTTCTTTTTAAATCAAGTATTCTCAAACCTGTTCTTTAAAATCATTAGAAACTGAAAAGATCAGTAGTGCATCCCATGTCTTTTTAATTCATCCCGTGTCTTTTTAATAACATCCCATATTTACCTATAAATCATCAGCCAGTCATTTCCTCCTGGAAATTAACCACAAGCTAACAGTTGCCTTCTCATCTTCCGAGAAGAAGGGTTGAGGTTCTGGGTCTGCCAGGCAATATCATAATTTGCTAGCGCTTTCCTGCTCATTTTTCTTTCTTGGTCATGTAGTGACTGTGGGTGAACACATTATATATTCTACTAGTATTTCAAGCCACATGGGAATACATGTAATAGTAGCGTCTTTTAATTCAAAACCCCTCAGGGTAGAAGCGATCTGGATTGTATCATCTCCTCAAAAAGGATGATTTACTAAAAAGAAGCAATCTGCCCAAATAAACCTACAAGCAGTACCAAAAATAAGCAAGGGTTTTGAAGGCACCTAGTTGCATTAGTCTTTTGAAACTATAAATAAGCAAATTAATACTAAAAATTTAAAAAAAAATAAATAAAAAGGTTACATAAATATTCTTCACTGTGCCCTGAAATGCTTGGCATAGTCAAGAGAAAATAATTCTTACTCTTCAAGTGTGGAATATGTTAAATAAACAAGTGTGCTTGGAATAATGATTCCCAAACCACAGTTTATGGGCAACCTGTTAGGACTGGATTTGCCAGGGAAAGCATGGAAAGTCATTGCCCTTCCCTTATTACTTGATGAGTGCAGCCACCCACAGACCTCTGATCCAAAGATTGGGCAAGATGCGGTACAGTAGTATAGTAAACAGTAGTTCCTGTCCAAGGAAGTTTACAGTCCAAAAGAAAGAACATACAGTCATTCATAACAGAGCTTGTGATGCAATAGTGCCAAATCCAAACAATAAGAATTCGTAAATTGGCAGGTTGGCTTAAAACCATAGAGGAGGATAAGAAATAGAAAACATAACAGCTCACCTTTTCTCATTTTGCACTCACATTATGCCACTAAGTGTTTCTTTTCCAAGCTTTCCTCCATATAAGGAAAATACATGCTTTTTTTTCCCCTCAGCATTTTAAGGGAAGTACCTATAGACAGGAGATTTATCATAAATCAGGAAGAACACTAGAACTTGTCTGACAGCTCTAATACACAGTATGAATGAAATTGTCTATGTAACGGTACCTCAATTTCATATCTGTGTAGGCAGCAACACAGGCCTTTCCAAAATTAAGTCCTATTTCTGCCCTAAGCAACTGATCTGTTTTATACACCTCATTCAATCTTTCTTCATACAGGTAAAAATCACATCAGTCAAACTTTGAGGGTGCGTTTGAAAGGATGGATGCTGCTGTCCATGTAAAAATCAAAAATATCTTGGCAATGGGTGTCATATGCAAAGTCTGGACGCATGTATTTTCACCTGACTCATATGAACTCTTACC